CTCTCGTCGACCGTTTGTTGGGGTTTCCAGTCGCCGGGGCTCAGGGTTTGGAGTTCGAGGTGGGGAGCGATATATATATATATATGTATATATATATATGTATATATATATATATGTATATATATATACATATATATATATATATATATGGGTTTAGGGAGTGGTGGGGGATCATGTTGACCCTACTTACGACCCCAGCTTGACCTACCCGCGGACCAGGTCAGGTTCGGGGCTTGACCACCTGAAAGTCGCCACTCCCCAAGCCTTAACCTGAATCTGACAGTCGAGCTGAGAAGCCATCGCCATAAGAGGGGCTCCTGTTTCCCATATCAGAGCAACTTAGGGCCCCTAAAGCCTCAGCCCTCAATGACTCAACTCTCAACCCTAAACCGTAAGCCTTTTAGGGTATAGGGGTGTAGTTTTTAAGGGCATAGGGGTGTAGTTAGCCCCCCATGGCTCTTGCGCTGTTTCCGGTCATTTTTCGGCCACGCGGGCCTGGCATGGCGAACGGGAAGAGCCCGTTCGCCGTGAGCCAAGAGGGCACTTGCGGTCAGTTGTTTGTTTCAGCTGGGTGGGTCAGGAAGCCAGCTGGCCTTTGGGATATAAGTGGGGCTATAAGTAGGGTAACTGTGGCTATAACCTTATTTAAGGTACCTCTGACCCTACTTCTATAAGTACCCAAATGAACCTCCAAGCAGGGTTGGAGGGTTTTGGGCATGGAGGCTTAGAGCCAAGGCTGTAGACCTGAGATCCACGTGGCCAGCGCAGGCTGACAGGCACACCCGGCTTCACAATTTTCGGTTGGCCATGCAAAGCACACCAATGCTGTGCAAGGCATTGAGGTATGAAGTCATCGTCCAGGCCACCCCCCGGGCCTGCATGGAACAGACCCAAACTCCCCACTCCGCCCGTGTAGGGGTTAGGGGCTTCTATAGGGGGGTTTACGATAGCAAGGGACCCTTAAAAGAGACCAAATAGTAGGATACCCTTAGAAAAAGCCTCCAATCTCGTCAACCCCCTATCAACTCTCGCAAACCCCGAGCCGCACCACCCCAAGCCCCCTTAACACCCCAAGCACCCAGAATCTGCCCTAAACCCTAACCCTAAAACCCTAACCCTAAGACCCTAAACCCTAAACAACCCTAAGCACCCCCAGAATCTGCAGTCTATGGCCTCTCCGCTGGGAGAGAACCGAGTTTGGGACTGAGCGCTGTGCAGGTTCAGCGACCTGTCTGATCTGTCTGCAGATGGGCAGTGCTTGGAGGAGAATCTGGGTTTATGGCCTTGTGGTCTCTATATAAGAACCCGCAAAACCCTGTTCGGGTTTAAGGTTTGGGATTTAGGGTATAGGGGTTAGGGGTTTAGGATCTGTTTTATGCCTAGTTTTGGCCTTGTTTGGGTGTCTTGCAACACTACTTCGAGCTACCCCCGAACCTTCAAGTGCGAATTCGGAGTGGCAGGGCGTCGCGAGGTGCTACTCCTTCTTCTAATGAAATTTGCACTCCAGAAACCCAACCCTCAAGCCTCAGCCCGAAACCCCAAAACTCTCACACAACACCCGCAAGCCGAAAACCGACCACACGTGCTCTTTTCCATAGAGGCCCGCGAAGTAGGGTTTAGGGTTTAGGGTTTAGGGTTTAGGGTTTAGGGTTTAGGGCTTAGGGGGGTCTTTACATGGTTCCTCATAAGGACTGGTGAGTGTACATACGGGCTGTCCTTCCAAGATGCTGACAAACAGAAGCACCTAGTCGTCATATCTACGCCAAGCCTTGCGTGCCTTTGCTGCCGTCGTGCAAGTGGAAAGTGAATCTTAACTTTGACTCTTTGGGGTGCATCTTATGGTATGGCTTTTGGAGCAATAGCCCACTTTAGTATTTAGGGTTTAGGTTGTTCGTCTAGGACTTTGAAGACAACCGAGCCCCCCAAAACACGATTGCAGGATTGAGGGGCCGTTGAGGGTTTTAGGGTTTTAGGGTTTTTGGGGTACTCGACATCCAATCTAAACCCTATCCCCCAGAAGGCTTCAGGGTAGATTCGAGGTGGGGAAGACCCTTATGGACTCTGTCCGCTACCGCCGAGGCGAAGATTGGAACTGTCGGGAGCTTGATAGGGTAGTTACATGGGCCCTGAATATGGTCCCTTGCCTCCCTTGACAGGTTCTGAAGTATGGGCCTTTGGGTTGTGTAGGGGAAATACGGGGCGTGTATGGGTCCCTTTTAGATGCTGGCATGCTGAACTTTCACACGAAAAAGTCCCCAGACTTCACATGAAGGCCTGGAGGGGTGGGGAGAGAGCGTTTCTAAAGTCTAGGGCTCTCAACACAGGATCCATGGACCCCAAAGTCTGATGCCTCGAGACCATCTCGGGCATCGAAACCTGGTGTTTAAAGCAATGCAGAGATCTCGGTGGGCTTGCAGCCGACCTCTTCCTGCCTTTGTGGTGACTCCTCCGAAATTCCCGTGTGGTTGAGGGTTGTGAGGGATCATGATCACTGCATTGCCTTTTCCGTGTCCTTCGTGTTCGTATGTGAATTGGGGTTGGTAGGCCGTATGGGTATTCTTACGAGGCTCATAGGTGCCAAAAGGACCGGTACCAGGAGGCCCTTGGGTGGTTGTAAAGCCTTCAGCCCGAAACCCTGAACTCGTCACCAGCTAGTTAGAACTGGTTCGCGCCCTTCTTGGGAGCCCCACTCTCTGTATCGGAACCTTCAGGTACGGAGTCTAGAGCTTTACCTCACGGCTTAGGGTTTAGGTTTTAGGGTGTTAAAGCCCCTAAAGCCTAAAGCCTAAACCCTAAACCCTAAACCCTAAACCCTGAAGCTTTAGAGTCTTTGGTGCCATTTTTTTGGGCAGCTCCGGCTGCAGCCCGCCTGCACAGAATTCGTGGCTTTTCTCGATTTTCATTTTCAGCCGTCGCGACTGAGATCTTCTGACGGTCCGCCCAGGCCTGCACCCTAAACCTAAACCCTAAACCCTAAACGCTAAACCCTAAACCCCAAACCGTAAACCCCAAACCCTAAACCCCAAACCCCTCTTCCAACTAAACCCTGAACCCTAAACCCCAACTACACCCAAAACCATGAACCCAACTAAGCCCTGAAGCCTAAACCACGAAACCCCTAAACCCTAAACCCTAAACCCGAACCCTAAACCCTGAACCCTAAATCCTAAATCCTAAACCCTAAACCCGAAACCCTGAACCCTAAACCCTAACCCCTAAAAACCCAAATCCCGTGCGCCAGCCGCGCCCTGACCGTGGTCCGACAGTAGTTTGGGCTGCCGCGAACCTGACGACCTTTCCGATTCCTGGCACAGGATGCCAAGAAGCCCTATAAGGGTTCTTTCTAAGCCCTATGGGGTTTAGGGTTAGGGTTTAGGGTTTAGGGTTTAGGGTTTAGGGTTTAGGGTTTAGGGTTTAGGGTTTAGGGTTTAGGGTTTAGGGTTTAGCGTTTAGGGTCTAGGGTACAGGGGTTACAGGGTTTGGATGCTGGGTTTAAGGGGTGCAGGGCTTAGGGGTCAAGGGAAGGGGGCTCAGGGAGCCAGGATTCCCCTTAGGGTTTAGGGTTTAGGGTTTAGGGTTTAGGGTTTAGGGTTTAGGAGTGGGTTTAGGGTTCCTTTGGGGTTTAGGGACAGTTAAAGGTGTGGGTTGAGGGGTGTAGGGGGTTTAGGCCTTCGGATTGGGCGGTTCCCTCAAACCCTGAGTCATGTTTGAGCTCCCAGCACTCACATCCGGTGAGCCTGAAAGAGCACTTGACCCCCAAACTTTCCTGAAATACTACCCGGAAACCATAAACCCTAAACCCTAAACCCTAAATCCTAAATCCTAAGCCCTAAACCCTAGAGCCATGAAGCCTCGAAGCCTCCAGAGCCCATATAGAGTTCCATCCTGGCCAGAAGAATCTGCCATAGCCTCTTCGTAAATGTCTCCGCCGGCCGTGTGCGTAACTCCTCACTTTCCCAGCCGAGGCCTGGATCCTGGCTAGCTTGTCGGAAACTCGGGCTTAGAACCCCCAAACCCGCAGCCCAGAGAGGACTAGGAAGGTGCACGCTGCCGGCAGGGGCAAGCCTCCCAGAACGTGCACAAACACGCTGTTCCAGGGAGGTGGCCCCAAACAACGCTCAACTTTGCACAGTGTTTGAAAGCGATTGACTGACACGTTCCCGTCAACCTCGTGCCGAAAAGAGGCGCTTTTTTGTGGAATCCGGGGTGGTGCTCAGCTCTCTCGAGTTCGGACCGAGTTTTTTTTTCTCAGCTAGAGGGCATTATTATCTGTTGGAAGCCTTTGTCAAGTATTTGTAGAGTCCCCTTGACAATCATAACAAGAAAGTTGCTAGCAACGATAGTGGCAACAAGCAAGATCAACCGCTCAAGTGTCTCGCCGTGCATGCACCTTGAGCCATTCATCCTGGTTGGCAGATTCGGATCAGCCCAACCCATGAATTTGAAAGTCTTCAGCCCTGATTAGGGTTTAAGGTTTTGGTGGAACCCTAAACCCTAAACCCTAAACCCTAAACCCTAAACCCTAAACCCTAAACCCTAAACCCTAAACCCTAAACCCTAAACCCTAAACCCTAAACTGTAAGGGCGTTGGGCTTTAGGTGTGCGGGGGCCTTGTCGTTCGGGAGCCTGATACCCCGGGACTCCCAACCCGAAAGGCCGACCCTTAGCCAGCTCTTGCTAGTTCCGTACGCCCCTTTGCGGCATTCTCCACGCTACCTACTTCCCTGAGCAAGGGATGAAGGAATCCCAAACCCTAGGCTCTAAACCCCAAGCCCTATCCCCGAAGCCCCTGAAGCCCTCCTAAGCATTAAGCCCTAAGCCCCTAAGCCCCTAAGCCCCCTAAGCCCCCCTAAGCCCCCTATAGGCCCCCCGAAGCCCCCGAAGCCCTAAGCCCCTTAAGCCCTGAGCCCTAAGCCCCCCAAGCCCTAAGCCCCCTAAGCCCTAAGCCCTAAGCCGTAAGTCCCCTGAGCCCCCTAAGCCCTAAGCCCTAAGCTCCTGAGGTGCCTCTGCTACGCTTTGCCATGATGCCATCCTCACTCCCATGGACGCCACGTCCTCAGACAGAAGGAGAGGTCCGAAACCCGAAACCCTACAACCCCCTAAACCCTAAACCCTAAACCCTGAATCTGCAACCCCTGTGTGTGAGTCCCATGCCCGCCAAGGAGGGCGTAGTAGCGACGTCCAGTTGCTTGCAATTAGACAGTCTTTGGTATACACGCTTTAGAGCACCAGTGCTTCTCCGAGCATGTGTGATCCAGCAGGTATTGTTTAGCAGATGCAATCAGGGGCTGCCTGCAAAGTTATTGAAATATGGGAATTGATGACATATCGTGATAAAACTCGAAAGTTGAGTCGGAAGCTTCTTGTCACCGACGCCGTCGATGTCTCACCATCGTCGTCGTCACCGGGTCCACTGCAATGGTCGTCGCCGTAGTTCTTGGCCCTTAGAAAAAACTTCGGTCCTTGCCATACTCCGGGGGGTTGCTGGCGGTCCACCACAGCAGCCATGAAAGCCCCCAAGAACCCGCCTAAACCCTAAACCCTCAACCCAAAACCCTAAGCCCTAAACCCTCAAAAGAGCCGGGGTCTCTTGTGCTAACCTGTCTGGCGCCGTGTCCGAAACACGTTTGACGTCGATCGGACTTGGCTGATGCGATGCAGTTTCTGAAGTCACGCGATCTTAGGCACAACAGAACGGCACACTGGCGGAGCCTTCTTGCCAGACGTGAGGGTTAATTGTGTGTGTGTGTGTGTGTGAGAGACCAGCTATTTCAAACTGCAATGGGGATCGCACAGACTGAGTTAATGCTGAGGGCAGCGGCTGCTGCTGCTGCTGCTGCTTCTGCTGCTGCTGCTGCTGCTGCTGCTGCTGCTGCTGCTGCTGCTGCTTCTGCTGTCTTCGCTGTTGTTCATGCAACACCCTCGAGCATTGCTGGTGCAAAAGTGTGCCGTCGCCATCTGGCTGACGCTGCTTTGCTTTGTGCACCAGCCTCAGGCTTCGCACCCCCAACAGCTGAAACGCAATGCAAGATAAGCACGCTGGGACATCTACCTCGGCAGCAACAACCTGAGAGGATGTTCGATGCACCGGGTGCAGCACACATCGATTTTAACATGGACACCATTCAATATCAAGTGTTGCATTTGCACATGGTATGTGCATTCGGAGACCGTATTTTCGCCTCCTACATGAGGTTGTCCCCGCTCCCTGACATTGAGTATGATCGTGCATGCAAACTAACACTGGCGTATGAAGCAAGAATACAGGAGAAGCGTGTCACAGTACCGCATTGCCATATGGTCTGCAAACAAGATGTTGAGAATCTCAAAGTTATAAAAAAGGTGACATGCAATCCTCTCGTCCCTGCCGAGTGGCGTGGTGAGTGGAGAGAAGAGAATGATCAACCATGTGCTGTCTTTGCGGACATGTGCTGTCATGAGCGGTCACGCGCTAAGCAACGCTGTTCTTCCAGCATCAACGTGAAAGAGAGAGATAGAGAGAGAGAATGTGTGTGTAGCTCTTGATTTGCAAACTTCTAGCAGTACCCCTTTTTGGGGTCCGTGTTTGGTTTTCGGCGGTTCACCAACCACATCGACCCCAACCCCCCCCCCCAATGGTCTTCGGGCTTAGGTTTTGGGCTTAGGGGTCCTTCAACTAGGGGTCCTTCAACGAGCGTTCAGCTTTGAAAACGTGAGACACTTGGGACGGAGGTCGTGAAGCAGCGCATGCAGTTGGGCTGCTACCGGAATGTAGGCTTGAGCCTTATCCAGCGGGTTTGGGAAAAGGTTGTGTAATTCGGTTGCTCAGTGCAGGGTTGCGCTTCTGGGTGGGGCTTCAGGCAGGGTTCTCAATGCACAATTCGGGACTCGACCATGGACCTATGCGCCAGCACGAGTCAGCTAAACCACGGTCCTTCCTCCAGACCTCAACCAATCCCGAAATCAGCGCCCACGCCACAAACCCAAAATCACTTGAATTCTCATGGCATGCTATGAGTTCGTGCTATTGCCGTCACCTTCAAAGGTGCACTCGAAAATCCTTGGCCCTGTAGGCTGAATTCCCTACATTCCGAGCCCTAGAATCAGAAGCTTTCAAACCCGAAGGCCTGCAACCCTACAAGCTCAGGGCTTGGGGTTCTAGATCTTCAACCATTCCACTACCTCACACCTCCAGACGGCACTTCAATCGCTGTAGGGTTTAGGGTTTAGCACTGAAGCAGGCGATTGCTTGCGATCGGTCGTGCGGCGAGAGGGCTTGTGGGGCCTGTATCGGTCAATGCCGACGACGCTGGCCACTCTGGTTGCATTTTGCTCCGACCTGAACTTGTCCCGAGCCCCTAAACTTCTGGCCCGAAGCCGTAAGGAGGCTCCTAGACTTTCCTCTTGCAGCCCGTTTTGCGCATTGGGACCTTCCTCAGTCCAGTGATCGAAGTTTTGGGGCCCTTTTGGGTTCCCAACCGATAACCGAGACTCCGCGCACCGCATGCACAATGCTGTGTATAAAGTGTAGGCTCTATCAGTTCTCTAAGGCTTAGGCTTAGGGTCTGTCAGGAACAAAGAGGTAGCCCTCGGACCCCAGCTCGAGCCAGAGGCCTAGAGTTGTCGTCAAGGAGTTTGGATTACAGGGTTCGGTGTTCGGGGCTTGGGGGTGTAGGGGCTACAAAAGAAGCCTGCCTAAACCTCTCTGCCATTGAAACCGCAAGCACCAACGCCTTCAGCAAACGTGGCCCCGAGCCCTGAACCCCCACGTGCTCACCCTGGAGGCGATGAATGTCCCCTTCGGTAGTATCCTGGCCGCGCCCTCAGCATGCAAAGCTCCTAAAGGGCTCGAGGCTTTAGGGGCTCAAGGGCTACCATGCCAAGTGGCTGCAGCTTTCTCTTTGTCTTCCATTGCTGGCTGGTGCATTTTTGCAGTGGGGTGGTGTCCTGGGTTGGGTGTGGGCGTTCACGATGTGCCAGCGCTTGTTTTGCAGCAACTCGGTGACTGCTTCACTCCTGCTCAGGATGGCAGTTCCAACTGTATCTCTGCTTGCCCTGGTTATGAGTCCGCATCAACCCGGCAACCCACATGCAAACTCTAAGCACCATCGCCCCAGCCCTAAACCCAACACCCACAGCCTTCACGGAACCTCTCGAACCCTGCCCGAAACCCGAAAAAACCCAAACCCTTTAAATCCCAAACCCTGAGCCCTCTTCATAACAAAATAGCCCTTAAGCCTATAAGCCCTGAACCCTATGCCCAAGCCCCCCCAAAACGCAAAAAAAACCTGAAGCCCCAAACCCTAAGGTTCAAGAAAACCTAAAACCCCTAAAGCCCCTAAACCCTAGAAAGCTATAAAACCTGAACAAACCCCCCAAACCCGAAAATCCCCCCAAAAACACAAAAAATCAACTAAAGTCCCAAAAAGACCCCCCCCCCCCAAAAAAAAAAAAAAAAAAACCTTACAAACCCCAAAACCTAACCCTAAACCCTAAACCCTAAAAACCTTGCAGCCCCAGGTAGCCTCTAACGAGTCCATCAAGCAGTTCATGGGAATCCGAAAGTTCGGAAGGCCTGGGAGGTGAGATTCGGGTTTAGGGTTTAGGATTTAGGGTTTAGAGTTTAGGGTCTAGAGTTTAGGGTTTAAGGTTTAGGGTTCAGGGTTCAGGGTTTAGGGTTGTGGGGTTCAGGTTTAGGGTTCAGGGCTTAGGGCCCGGGGCTTAGGTTAGACTTTTTCTCTGCGCTTTGCGGCCGCCCCCCCCCCCCCCACCCCCCCCCCCCCCCCCCCCCCCCCGCCCCCCCCCCGACCCCCCCCCCCGCCCCCCCCCGACCCCCCCCAAAACAGGAACTACCGTTAAGGGTGTACGGCCAAGTTTTAGGGTCGAGGTTCTGGTGTTGCTTACCCCCAAGCCTAGAAAAAAAGAAACCCTGTAGGCCACAGGGCGCCCACATCGGAACCCTAAACCCCAGACCCTAAATCCTAAAAGGGTTTAGGGTTTAGGGTTTAGGGTTTAGGGTTTAGGGTTTAGGGTTTAGGGTTTAGGGTTTAGGGTTTAGGGTTCCTTCATCCCACGGGTGCCTGGACTTTCACTCCAACTCCAACCTTACAGGCTTTTTGTATGGCTGGTGGCCTTAGAGGCCTAAGCCAGGGATTTAGAGAGCTCAGGGTGTTCTTAAACCTTATACCTCCAGTCAGGGAGAAGCGTCGTCTGTGAAAAAGAAAACCGGGCATGCTGCTGCGAGCGGATCCTGCTAGGTTTGCGATAAGCCCAGGGGAATTTATTGTAGCGTGAGGAGTGCTTGGATCATGCCCCTCACCGTTGAGGTGAGCCTGCTAAGCGGCAGGAGGGTCTCACTGGCAGCAGAACCAGACGAGTCTGTCGAAGCCTTCAAGAGCAGAGCGCAGGAGGCTTTGGCCGTTGGCAGGGGCAGACTCTTGGATTCCTCCGGAGGCGTTTTGAAGGGACCCGCCACGCTTGAGGAGTTCAGGTTGAAGAGCGGCGATGAGTTGGTGTTGAATCTTAGCAGTGTGCAGGTTCTGGGCGCCGAAGGGGCGTTTGCTGCCAGGGCGACGGGTCCGTCGTGACCTGTGGAGATGTCGAACATGGTGGCGACAGCAGTGCTTTGATCAGTTGAAGGACGTGACGCAGAGGCTACTCTGAGGGCTTTTGCTGCCCTTCGGGGCGATGGGTTGTAGCCTGGGGCCTGGCAATGGTGGCAGCAGCGACGTTCAAGGTCAGCTGAAGGACGTGAAGCAGATTCAAGCTACTCGTGCTCCTTCTGGCGGCTCTTTTGCTGCGATTCTGGGTGATGGGTCTGTTGTGACCTGGGGCAATCCTGAGTGTGGCGGCGACAGCAGCGCTGTGCAAAGTCAGCTAAAGGACGTGCGGCACATTCAAGCGACCGAGTCGGCATTCGCTGCCATTCTAGGAGACGGGTCTGTTGTGACCTGGGGTGATCCTGAGTCTGGCGGCGACAGCAGCGCTGTGCAAGGTCAGCTGAAGGACGTGCGGCACATTCAAGCGACCGAGTCGGCATTTGCTGCCATTCTGGGAGATGGGTCTGTCGCGACCTGGGGTGATCCTTACACCGGTGGCGACAGCAGCGCTGTTCAAGCTCAGTTGAGGGATGTGCGGCAGATCCAAGCTACCAGCTCCACTGGTGTTTTCGGCGCTGCCTTTGCTGCCATTCTAGGCAATGGGTCCGTTGTGACCTGGGGTCTAGCTGACCATGGTGGCAACAGCAGTGCCGTGCAAGATCACTTGAAGGGCGTGCAGCAGATCCAAGCGACCAGCAGGGCTTTTGCCGCCATTCTGCGCGACGGGTCCGTGGTGACCTGGGGCAGTGCGGACTTTGGTGGCGACAGTAGTGATGTTCAAGGTCAGCTGAGGGACGTGCAGCAGATCCAAGCTGACAGCGGTCCATCTGGCGGCTCTGTTGCTGCCATTCTGGGTGATGGGTCTGTTGTGACCTGGGGCGGTGTGGACAGCTTACATCAGCGAGTGACCGTGGATGCCGGGAATGTCGCCATACTGCCATACCCCTAGAAGACAGAACCACGGACCCTAGCTCGGCTTCCGTATGTGAGCTTGGTATTTAGTCGTAGTGACATACCCAATCAGCCGTTGAGCTGGCAGATGCTGAGTGTCAGACACAGCGCAACGCATGTGTTGTTTGTTCTTTGACTCTAGGGTTGGTCCGGGTTGGTGTGGGCTTAATCGGGATAGGGCACGAAAAAAGCGTGCCTGGCCCTACGTCCTCAGCTGTATGATTTCAGGGAAAGGCACAGCTAAACCCTAAACCCTAAACCCTAAACCCTAAACCCTAAACCCTAAACCCTAAACCCTAAACCCTAAACCCTAAACCCTAAACCCTAAACCCTAAACCCCAAGCCCCAAGCCCCAAGCCCCAAGCCCCAAACCCCAAACAGGCATCCTAAGGGCTGTCAAGGCCTTCCGGCCTGGAGCTCTCAAGCCTCAAGGTACTTCATGGGTCGGAAGAAATTGCTAGTAGTGTTCCCTGATGGTCCCTTGGTAATTATACTATAACTACCCCCAGAACATTATTCTAGTTATTACTGCCCCTATTTTACAATCATGGTTTTCGAGTTCGCGAATAAGTTTCTTTTAAGGGTTCAGGGTTCAGAGGCTGTGTCTGTGGTCTAGCGGTATACGCATTAGGGTTTCGGGTCTTGGGCTAAGGGCAAGATTCGCTTTGCAGGCCCGAAGGCCCCTTCCCCATGGCCTCCCGAGGGTAATTGATGATGTTATTCTGCCATTCTGCTTGTGAAGTTTGTGATATGACTATGTTAGTAGTATATTAGTGGAATGACTCTTGGGTCTTTCGGCCTCAGTGTTCGGGTCGAGGATGCTTCGAGGCTTAACGCTCTGACAGGATGTGCCGGATGCAAGAGCATTTTGACAATTTCAAGGCTTATATAACTGTCTCACCCCCCGCGACTCACCCATCTTGCCTGGCAGAGATCCGAGAAAGTACCATCCTTTTTGGTGTCCACGTTTTGTATTTTCTTCTGGGTCTTCATGGCGTCGTGTGTTGTTGAGGGTAGGAAGGGAACCATCACCCTTGGTCAACCCTCCCACATCAACCCACAAGGTGGTGGAATGCCGCGTGTTCAGGGAACATCTGAAGCAGAGACCACCCGGTCGTCAAGGAGCCCTGTAAGCCCTAGACTGATGAGTTTGTTTTAACCAAAAGTCTGAAGTCACCAAAAACAAGTGTTCTTCCTAAAATCTTTCCAACATCATCCTCGGGCATTGTCCTCCCTAGTTTTTCTGTCCGCGACATCATCCTAGAA